TCTCAAGCACCGCTGGCTCCCCACTCATTTCAGGATCCAGTGCACAGTCCTTTCTAAACACTCTCCCAAGATTTGTTCCAGCTGACCACACAGTACTCACTTCATCCCCACTCTCCTCCCATCCCATGCTCACATAGCATGGGCCTCGGTCTCTCCTTGCACACAGGCTTGCCACTTGCTGGTCCAAGAGCCTTCTCCAGTGCAGCTCCTGCTGTCTGCAACAGCCTTCTCCCTCTCACCGAGAGCTACCTCTTCTGTCCTTTGCTTTACCCTGTTCCCTGCTGGTATTTAGCTCTGTGACAGGACTATTTGATGCCTTCTTCTCTCAGCACTCCGGGGCACAGTTTGCTGAGCAATGGTAAACACAAGGCAGTTGGACTGTGTGTACTTGGGGAACAACTGAAACGTTCATTTGAACGTAGATGTCAAAAGGATTTAGAATGACGTTTTAGGCACAGGTTTGGCTAGTAGGGGACTAAACCAGGGACCTTAACCGTGAGCTGCTACCACTTACTAAAGGACCAGTCTATGGAAGGAGGGGTCTCTGAATCCCCGGTCGTCGGCAGGCAGGATCGAACCTCAGGGCGGGGAGCTTAGTGCATGAGCTAAAAACCATATGGCTGTTAGCTAAGGTTGGAGGGCAAACTCATTAATCGCTAAGTGCTCTGGGTGCCACTAGATGGGACAGAACACCACAGCCAGAAGGTGTGTGGGTTTAGGGTGACCACACAGCAAGTATGAAAAAAATCGGGACAAGGGGTGTGGGGAGGTCATAGATGCTTATATAACACAAAGCCCCAAATATCGGGACTTTCCCTATAAAATCAGGACATCTGGTTACCCTATGTGGGTTATACACACACACACACGCACACTAACCAAATAGGTCCTCATTTCCCTCGTGTCAGCCAAATCCCAGCACGTGGCAAGCAGGGGAGCCGGACTCCGATCCCACTTATACCAGCACGGATGAGGAGTGACGCCCTTAGCGTCAGTGCACTCATTTTGCTTTCGCACCAGCCTGGCTGAGATCAGGATCCGGCCCAAGGCCTCTACCAGCAAGAAGAGCAAGCGGCAGGCGGCCCTGGGAGAGCTGTTGGATTAGAACCGAGCGCGCTCAGGACTTCGTTCCTTAATCCCGTCTCCCCGCTGGGCTTCATGAGCGTCAGCACAATGTGATAAATGCATCTGACAAACCGAATACAAACCCTTCGCCATCAAAACCCAACGCTCCAGAACCACCTCTGACCTGCTGTTAAATGCCAGGCTGGCAGCCTCCTCCTCCCCGGGCGGCACTGGCCCCTCCTCACTTTCAAATGCCAAGGAAAGGTCCTGGAAGGGAACACCACCAGGGACATCAGTGAATGCCAGTGATGACAGGGCAGAAGGTGAAGTGCAGTCTATGGCCACTGGTAAGGGGCATTCATATCTCTTGGCCCCTGTTGTTTGCAGCCAGCAATCCCAGAGCAATTACTGCAGGGAGAAGACCTTTTTTAACAATGTTTCAGAGCTCAGACATTGTTATCTACGTTCCCCATGGCCAGGGGGAGTTTTCCCTAATGGGAAGGCAGCTCCCGACCAGTCTTTGCAACGGTCACTGAGTCACAGCGTTCTCTGCTCCTCACCTTGACGGTGTTTGATCTGAGATACTTCAGCTCATGCAAACTCCCCAACAGACTGTATGGAAAGGACAGAACCGCCCGACTGGCTCGCTCCAGTCAATCTCTACCATTGCTCTAGTTGGATCAGCACATGCCAGTCGCACGGGCGTTATACCCATCAGGCAGTAGAGAGCGAGGGGTTGTCAATCAAGAGGGGTGGGGTCTGGAGCAGCTCCATTACAGTAATAGGAATGACTCCCTATTTTCGCTGGGGGGGACTGAGCTCAGATGGGGCGTGAGACAGCAGCCATCGCAGAGTCTCAGTAAATTCGCAGGGCAAAGCAGACGTCACAGCAACACAGGAACAGCCACGTTGTCTCAGACCAATGATCCATCACGTTCAGGGCCCCGTCTCTGAAAGTGACCAGGACTAGCCGCTTCAGTGGCAGGTGCAAGAAACTCTGCGGAAGGCAGCGATGGGATAAAAGTTTCTTCCTGACAGGTTGGTTCATACTCCGCAGCTGAGGATTGTGACAGTCCAGAGGAGATCAGAGGCTGGCTCCCACGCTAGGCGGTCCCTGAAATTTTTGAGGCCTGGGCCAAGTTCTGCTCTCAGTTACACTGGTGTAAATCGGATGGGGTTACTCTAGGTTTACATTGGTGCCAGGGAGCTGAATATGGTCCTGGATCTGCCTTTGTTTCAGAGAGAGCAGCGACACCCTGCAGGCACCCTGCTCTGACAAGCCTGGGCTGTCAGCGCAGAACGAAAGGCGAAGGCAACAAAGTGACAGAAGGGCCAGCCGAGCGCCTGCCGCTGGGTAATTACCAGCCGAGTGCGGGCGCGTGATGCTGTGCACTGAACCCTGGCCCAGCCCTGCCCCCAGACAGCTGGAGAGGGCAGCCAGGTGAATGCTCAGATACTCAAGCAAAATGTTAACGTCTAATAACGAGGGGCCCCTCCTGCCAGCTTCCATCAGGGAACTGGCGCTCCTGCATTGATGGAAGCTCTGCAAACACGTCACTGCCCTTTAAGCCGGCTGCGGTGAGCCAGGAAACACAGGCAAGACCCATCTGGGGGAGGCTGCAGGGGTCACTGAGCTAGCAGAGAGGAGGATAATGAACAAACTGCCTCATTGCTCAAATGGGACCAAAACGCATTAGCCCAGCACACGTCTGAGCACACCGCTGGCTTCTAGCCTTGGATCCCAGCTCCCTCCCAGCTGACCCTCGGTGGCTGGGACAGCAATGCAAGAGGAGGCCTATTACTAATCATCACACTTCGCCTGGTCAATAGGGCCTGTCATGTGAGGATCTCAAAGCACTTTACACACATTACGCAAGCCTTACCACACTGCTGCAAGGTAAGTCCGGGCCATTATCCCCATTTTACAGATGGGAAAGCAGAGGAGCTAAGGGACTTGTCCAAGATCACATGACCAATCTGTAGCAGAACTGGGACTAAACTGGACAGGTCCCAACTCCCAGTGCCTTGCTTTAACATCTAGGCAATGTAGTCTCCAGAGTCTATGCATCGGGCCAGCGGTAGCCTGAGCATTCATGTCACCTGCAGAGCTGGCTCTGTCTTTGCAAGATGTCGATTTTTTTCCCGTGTCCCTCCTCCCCGCCGGTTTAGGAAGAGCACTGGGGGGCAGCTGTCATGAGCAGAAAGAACAAGCAAGGCAGCCTTGCCCAGATCCAGTCCCAACAGGCTTCTATTGTGCTCAGTACAGATGTGGTTCACACAGAGAAGCAGCAGCCCATGCCACTTTGCCCCCAGGGGGCTGACTCACTCCTTTCAGGAGCCTGGATCTCAGCTGCTAATGGGGAAAAGGCACTGAGAAGAGCAGGGAAGTATTTCTGGAGGAGACATGAGGGCGTCGGCCCATCTGCTTTTCTCCGCAGAGACATTTCCATGTCAATGGCAGAGTGAAGACACTTTTGGAAATGGGCACAAAGTCATTTAATGGCCTCCTGCTATTTCCCAGCAACCCCAAGAGTTTCTTCCTCCCTAGGGACTGAAGCGTGGTGATGATGCCTCTGTTTTCTAATTGGATCCAGCCCAGATTTCCAATGCTACTGAAGACCCAGCAGAGGAAATCTGGAATGGACAACGTATGAGAAATAGGAGATATTTACCAAATGGCTTCTCCTAATGACTTCGCTCTGGACACAGACGCTGCCTGGATGGAGCCAGATTGCCCTTTCTGTGAGGATCCAGGTCCACAGGTCTCCAGGTAACCCTCCCACAGCTTGTTAGCAGCTGGTGGGCTGAATGGCTAGTGAAACCTAGCCCTGCCAGAGGCACAGCGCACAGGAGTGGTGGCTGGAGAAGTGCCTGGCCCTACTGATTGGTCCAGCTGAGTTATTTAAGCCAGAAAGCGGCACAAAGACAAGACATCTATGCAACCAGGTGAGCTCCTGGCTGCTACATCAGACCCTGCCTTCTTGCTTGACTCTTGAGCTCTGCCGATCTGACTGGTCCCCCATTTTTGCTTCTCTGGTTCCCGCTAGGTTCCTGATCTCTACCTCTGTTCTCGGACTCCAGCTCTGAGCCTTGGCTCAACTGACCCCAGTTCTGGCTCTGACCCTCAGCCCTGGCATTTGGCCTCCGACTCTGGTTCTGACCCTCAGCTCCGTTTCCTAGCTCCTGAGTTCTGCTCTGGCCCACTAGGCCTGACAGACCACGTCCTGGTCCCTAACCGTCTCTCTGTCTGTTCTATTAAATGAATGGCCTGTGCACTTCACATTGCAAGCTTTAAGGGACAGGGACTGTCTTTGTTCTGTGTTTGTACAGCACCTGGCACAAGGGCCTTCGTCCGTTACTGGGCCCCGCACTACAAGTAATTAAACAACAATTTAAAACTGTATTACAAATACCTCAAGAATGGCCAATGCTCTAGAGGACGCAAGTCTTTGAATAGCGTTGTAATGGTTTTAAGGACATGGACACTGGCGAATTTTGTCACATTACTGATATACATGTGGATATGCAATAATATATACGCACACACCCACCCTCCCAGGGCATTTTCCCCCTTAGCTGATAAACTGCCTGTTCTGGCTAGATTCTCTTTATACCCCCAGGCCTGCTCTGCTTCTGTTGCTGGACCTCAGCAGAGCTCCACAACTTGACGCTAAAAATAGAAAATGGTTTGTATGAATCCTTCCCACCTCAGGTAACAAATCCCAAATCTTGCATTTGTATAGAACCTTCCCATTGTCTTCTACAGACTTTGCAGAGTGGACAGACTACATATAGAATTTACTTCACCTCCTATCACTATGGAATGAAGGATGGCCTTGTGGTTTAAGCATTTACCTAACATCCTGGAAATCCAGGTTCAATTCCTGGCTCTTCCACAAAATGTTCTGTGCTGAATATTTCTCAGTGAGGTTCACCTGGAGGTCTAAGAAAGTAGAGCCAATGAAGTCAGAGGGGCTCTATTGATACTGTCCTCCTACATTAAATGGTAGAAAATAGCTACCAGGCTTCTGCAAGATGGAGTCAGGACCTCCTTAATCTACCGACAATCATTCATTTTATTTAATCTAGCATAACAAGATACAAGAGCTGGAAGCTGAAGTCAGCCAGTTCAAACAGAATAGAAGATGCTAATTAACCATAGGAACAAATTCCCAAGGGAGGTGGTGAACTCGTCACGCAGAATTTTTAGATCCGAATTGGAGGTCTTTCTAAGTGACATGCTCTGCTTCAACACACAAATCTGGGTGCAATTCTCTGGCCTGTTTTTATGCAGACGATCAGACTGGCTGATTATAATGGTACCTTCTGGCCTGAATACCTGTGAAGTGCTGTGCAGCCACATCCAAGTTCAAAAGCACAAAGTAACACTCCCCAACAGCTTGGGACAGGGAACTTCTCCAGACCTGTCAAACTTTCCATTACCACCATCTTGCCCTGGGAAGGACAGATGGGAGCCTCTGAGTGGGCCAGCAATGCCTGTCTATCGAATTCTGGCAGGCGTGGTTCATGCCAAAGGATGGTCAGGTAGTCCACCTGGTATTGCATTCTCGGTCATATGAAGATTAGGAGTCCAGCGCCAATCTATCGAAGGTAAATAGCTGGTGCGAGTCACCGTAGTATTGGAGTGCCTCATAGTCTTTAGTGTATTTATCCTCACAACACTGCTGTAAGGCAGAGCAGTGCGAATACCCCCAATTCACAGTGGGGAATGGAGGCACAGAGAGGCTAAGGGACTTGCCCAAGGTCACAGGAGGTCTATGGCACAGCCGAGACATGAACCCAGGACTCCCAAGTCCGAAGGCTCATACCCTAACCCTGGTCCGTCCATTCAGCTACTCCAAGGATACTTCTGACCTGTATTTACCTTCTCGAGTCCTAAAACCACCATAGAAACAATGGTGAAGTTATGCTGAAAGCCTCCTGCCACGCTAGCAGCACTAATTCAGTCCTCCACGTCTAGCATTTTCATCTTCTTCCAAAGATCGAGAGGGCTGTGGCTTCGAAGCCACGTAGCTTCCTTTCTGACTGAACTGTTGCCTCAAATTCCCATGGGGTCTGGTCCTTTCCTAGGACACTAGTAACAAGAGCAGAGCAGATCTCTCTGGTAACTGTTCTTTGAGTGTCTTTGGGAGAGGAAGAGTGGGAAGTGGTGAAGGTAGCACTGTAATAGAGAGACAGACAGACAGCTGCTCACTCTGGAGTCCAAAGTCACAACAGAAACAGATTTTTGTCTCATGCTGCCATGGCCCCAAACTCCCAAATATTCTCTCCCACCTGTGAATGGCACCCTCCTCCGGCAGCAGATAGCAAAACTCCAGTTAGATAGGACGGCTCTTGGGTTGTGTTACCCCTTGTCTTTAGCCAAATCCATCATGTATCTGAAACCCCTGCCGTTCTGCTGTTCCACGGGGCCTCTGCTTCATCCCTCCCCAGGACTGGACGCCAGAGAGCGAATTCAGAGGTAATGGTAAATTGCAGTGTCAGTTACACAGCAGTAAGTCAGTGCAACTGACATGATGAAGGGGAATGTGGGGCTGGGGCAGGAAAAGCCGCCACCAGGATGGTGTAAGGAGGAGATGGAAGATCAATGGGAAGTGCTGCTTCTTTTACACCCTTTTCTTTCTACATCCCCACCCATCTAGGGCTAGTGAAAGGGGATGGAAAGCTAATGGGACAATCCCCTTCCCCACCTAAGTGAGAGGGGCAAACAACAAACTACCGCTCATCCCCTGTAGAACTCACACTGCAGAGGTGCTGCTAAGGATTCAAGTCTGAAGCACGACTCGAAACCACAGGACAGTCACCGTTATTTTGATGACAATCAGACATTGTGATCTCCTATAGATATATACAGACATAGGACCAGTTTTCAACGTCCGTCCGTCCCCCCCCCCCCCCGGCAAATGAGAACCAGATCATACGCAGGAGAAATGACATCTCTGACTGTCAATCTTTATATATTTGTTTATTGAAGGTGCTCAGATCCCGCCTCAAATCCTCCAAAAGGGAAAATGTTCTTGTGCCATTGTTTGCCAGTGCAAATGCTGTGGCTTTAATGATTTCTCTTCTCAATAGGGCTCAGATTAAATGTGGCTGTATCAACAAAACAACAGCCCAGAGATCTAATAACATCCATCTTCCCCCTCTGTCATAAGGGGATGCTTATAACCCTTCTCCTTAGAATACCCATTTCCAGCAAGGCCTTTAACCATTGTGTTTTAAATTGATTTCACAGAGGAATAAATGGTGAAAGCGCTGAATACATTCACACACACAGAGAGAGAAATTCCTTTCAAACATCCGGCGCCAATGCGAATCTCAATCTCGATGAAATTATGCCTAATAAAAAGCCAGATGGCGCATCATTTCCATTTTCTCCACAAGACTTCAGCTTAATGGCCCAAACGCGCTGCACAACGTGTGGGGAATAGAGCTTTGTGTGAGCTAAAGATGTATTATTCCTCTTCCAGGGAAATTTGGATTGCCTTCAGTGGGCCCAGATTTCAGGCCCTGAGAGTGGGGAAGTGGCTGATTAAATTGCTCTTCTTTCTCTGATCAGATAAAAGGGTTAATTTGGGGGTCGAAAGTAAGTGGAAAACATTCCAGGAAATGAGATTGGCCTGGGGTTGTGGTGGTTTATTAAAATGCCCTCACAGCACCAAGGTATCTGAGCACCTACTATGTGTTACAGTAGAGATACCTCCCACCCCAAACTGTAACAAAGAATCCAATCCAGCTTCAAAGGTTAGATGGAGACTCCATGGCTTCACACCATCTCCACAGAGCGATTCCCCTAGACTGATGTCTGAGTGCTGCAAGTAGTTCATGTAACTAAAGTGACATAGAAACTCTTCCAATTCGGGGAACCACCACCAGAGTTCTCTTATTCTGGATTATGATGTTGCATATTCTCAGGATGAACTCACTTGGCATTAATACGGAGACAATGATTAATCTAGAAGACTTTAGGCCTGTGAGGCTCCCATTCCCTTGCGCACCAGTGGGGTGTGTGGACAGGTATGGGTGGAGAAATCGTAGCACGAGTCCTGCCGTCACTGGGTGTAATGGAGTGGCTGGGATGTCGACAGTCCACCCCATAACCCTGTTTGAAGGACCACACCCCTTGCATGGGGGAGGGGGCCAACCCTGCTCCCGCTGGCCACATGATGCCTCCGGGACCCACCGAGCTCATGTCCCGCACTGGTGGGCTTCTCTGCCACAGCCTGGAAGGGCTTGATCTTGCCCCAGTATGTGTTAGAGAAGGTCACCACCGTAGGCCAAAGCCACAGGATGTAGGCAGTCCTCATGCAGGCAGAGCGCTCACTCGCCTTGGGACTTGGCCTGGCCTCTGGAAGAGACATGCACACAGAGCCATGTAGCAAAGGGAGCTCACCCCCACGGAGTGTGCTGGTTAAACGGGTAGCAAATACCCAACCACCTTAATTTGCTGGACTTAAGCCAACACCCAGGCCAGACTGTGTCTGGCCCCCACAGCTACCCAAAGCGGAGAGCCAGGCATCCCCCAGCTTCCACCCTCCCTGCGTAGGGGCAGCCGTGATATGACTAGGGCCAGAACCACTCTTTCCTGTTAATGCCTCTGGCAGTGCCAGCTTCGCTAGAGGGAAGTGCTCCCCACAGACCAGGGGAGAAGAGCGTATGCGGCACCTGGGACAGAGCTGCCGCTCCAGCCTGCACTCCCAGGCAGAGACTGCCATTACAGCAAAGCCCCAAAGAGAGAGAGAGTCAGGCACTGGAAAAGGTCCAGTCCTGCTCATAACCCTATGCTGCACTTCTGCCCTAGACGAAGGCCTGAGAGAAGGGAAAAGGCAAGAGAAGATGCTCCCAGTGTTAAGGTGATTTCAGACATCCCTCAAGCATGGGGGTGTTTGGATCTGGGGGTTTGAGTCAATCCATTAGAAAGAGAGGGAGCCACTTGCTGCAGTCACATCTAGAGCTCAGTTTTCATTTTTAACGCTCACAAGAGGAGCCTGTGTGTGGGAGAAGGGGCAGGTGGGAAGGGGAGGGGGGTGTTTGATTCAGGCATGTCCCAGATTTAAATGCTACGCTCTTCGTGGGGAAAGTACATTTAACAAGACACCCAGGAGAACGTTTTCAAGCTGGATCCAGTCTAAACGTTCAGTGAGGAAGAGGAATTTCTTCATTCTTTATGCACAAGACACTAGGGAATTCTCTCTCGGCATTTAAATCAGGTTCTAAATTCACGGCTTGTCCCCCAAACCAGTAAGAATCTAAACGTCAACAAATGCAACTTTCTGAGACAATTGGTCATATCTGCAGGACTTGGAATTCCCTTGCACTCTCTATCAGGTACCAATGCAATTAAAAGAATACACTCTTCTATAGCATACATGTCTATGAGACCCCCAGATCTCCCAGCATGTGCTCTTCTGCCATGACAGAGTAGCTGTGTGTATGGGGGGGAATGCATTGTAGATTCTGCCTCTTTCCATATTTCTCTCTTGATTATTTTTCTACAGAGGCACAGAAAAGCAAGCGTAAGGTTTAGTGATCACCTCCGGCAACACTGAGCATAGAAAACTGACATACAGGTGGCATCAGAAGAACAGGCTGCAGATCAACAACTACAGGGTGCTACCACACAGCTTGAGGAGTGAAAAAATGTACTCCTCTAACTCTTTTTGGCTGGGAATAAAACTCCCTCCTCCCCTTGGGCTAATGAAAGCCGATCAGAACCTCTTGAACCAATCCTGGCTGTGGCAGGAGCTCAGAGGTGGCCCTGGGAGGGGTTGGGGGAAGGTATAAAGGCTGGTAGCCAGAGACACCGAGTAACATTGCAACTGGAGAGACTCGAGGGGGAAGAGGAGCCAGAGAGACGCCCCATCGCTGCGGGAGACAACACGACACAAAGATGAACCCGAAGCTTATTTTCTGCTGTGGATTTCTGCTGCTGCTTCTCCTCAGCCAGGATCAAGCGAGGGCCAAACCCCTCTCCAGTTTACAGGTAAGAGAGCAGCTGCTCATTTCAATATCATGGGGCTGATGATTCCTTGGAACTTGGAGTTACTG